ATTCAAAAAGTGGAATCCACAATTAGTAAAAAGTTCAAAGATGACTGAAAAAAATGAGATCTAGTTGCAGCCTTTGACCTCTCATCATGAAACATTATTGTTAGGGGTGAGCAAAAACGGAAAACTGGATCATTGTGTTGGGTCTGGATTGGATCATAGTTCACATATTAATGCTTCTCTGTTCAAGAGATTTCGGACCAAAGAAATATATCTGTTCATATTTGTATTTGGTTCGACTTATTGTTAGATGTTGATTGTGTTGTTTACTTATTATAAATTTAACTGAAATATATAAATTTTATTCAAAAAAACTTTGTTCTTATCAAATGAAGAATGGTGGCAGCCCACGCAAAACATACCCAGAGGCTGCCAAAGGTCTGCTATCTGATTTTTCATCTTCGTCTTGGAGAACAATAATTCAGCACAAATAACGCACAACCATGTGCCTCTACTTCCATTGACATTGAGTCGTTTACCACCCCAAAGTCCTTTCCACTCCAAACTTCTCCGCACTTACATGACGCCCCTTTCAAATGTGCCCTGGGAAGCGCCGTAGCCAGGTCTGATATCTTGGCAGATATCACCCGCTTTCCATCCTCCAGGTTGAAGAAAGCAACATATATTATTCTCCCTTCACATAGAAACAGAAAAGGTTCATCAAGTGCTTTCAAGTTCTTCAATGAGTACATTATTCATCTAGTTAATGAAACTCTTTCGTTTTGAAAGCAATACCTCCTTTTCCGGTGGCAATCCAAGAGCGAACTCCACCTGAAACAGCACTTGCTGCATGATTGATTCATTAGTATTGGCAAAAGAAAAAAAGAAAGATACTTTTGAATATCCATAATCAACAATTCGTGGCTGGAGTATCAGTGTCATGTGTATCACCTTTTTCTGAGTCGACCACTGCACACAGACCAGAATAACTATTTCTGAGTGTTCCGTTACTATTCAGCTCCCACATCTGTTTAGATTATTAAGCGTTAACTCTCAAAATTTTCATAACATAATAAACTAGAATACATATATAAACTACAGGGGACCTGGTTCTCATCCAGCCTGCAGGGTGAGAATGAGCCTCTCTTGAATTCTTTTCTTTTGGGGGAAGCATCCAAGCAAAAGTCTCTTCGGTCACTTGCTAATAAATGAAGTTTCCCTTGATACTTATCAATTGTTTGTTCATCTCTACATCAACAACCATAAGAGAGGTGAGAATTATAATGTCAACATAAAAGGCGAAGTAATAAAGCAAGAGGTAATCTAAATGTGGAAAGAAGATGCATATTACAAAGCTACAAGAAGATTTCTCTTGACTAGGCATAAAGGATCCTCAAATTTGTTCCCTGAGTTTGCCTCCCAGCAAATTTGTTCTACATCCTGACTAAGAGTTTTGACTGACCACACATTTGCTCTTGAGTCCCCGCAGCTAGTTAGACCAAAGTCAGGTCTATGCAATGTGTCCTCTTCTGTTAAGTCTCGAGAATAAATATTTTGTTTCATCCCATGTACTTCGCTGCTAGTAATATGAGGAAACTGTGGATGCAAGAAGAAAACAATTGTTAAAATGCTACTCAAAATGAAGATTATTTTAAACAGCTTCAAAAAATTGATATTACATGCCTCCATATTGTCTGAACTGAAAGAGTTTATTCTCAGTATTGTAGGATTTGTAATCAGGTTATAGGTGGTGTCATCAAGCTTCCTTAAATCTCCTCCAAACATGAGAGGGGATTTTGCCATAGCCCACAAAGTTACCTGAGAAAATAAAAGATTAAAAAACAAAGCTTCTTCATTCATTAATTGGAAACTTCTTGCTAGTACCATGATAAAACATACCTGAGTTCTTTGCTCATCCAGAGTAAGATTACACATTCTGTGGGGACCTTCATTTGAACCTAAAAAACATGAAAATTTTGAATTACTTCTCACTTTCAAGCTGCACAAGGTGATATTACTACTTCCCCTTACTAAACTCATCCTTCAAACTGAATATTATAGACAAAGTCACTCGAAGTTCTCTACTAAAAATACATTCCTATATTTGGTAGCAGATAACATCTTGGTACTATTTTCTTGTGAATTCAATTAAATTTTTGCAGTTTTCTCAGTCGTAAACTCATTGCATTTCCTCCTTGCAGCTAAACAAAATAGAGAATTTAACAACCTGGATCAGTGAGCCATCCCAGTGGTAGCATGTCTAAATCTGGCCATGACTTTCCTTGCAAGCCCCCGCTACCTATCATCTTAGCTGCAGCAAGGTCCCTGAGGCATAAAGGAAAAAGTCCATACCAAGTAAAGACAAAGAAAAAGAAAACAAAAGCCGACTAAAATAAAGAAGCAATCCAATTAAGTGGATATTAATTGATATAGAGTGCTTGATAATGAAAGCCAACAAATCTGACTAAGCAACAAATGAATATAGAGCACTTGAGCACCTTGAAATATTAAAATGGGGCACAATATCTCTCCACGAATCCCAGTCATCCGCGGTAACCCTGTACATGTTAACTAATCCATTTACTTGTCTGGCCATTGCTGGGGTCACACTGGTCCCAGGAGACAAGGAATATACAATTGGCCGACTAAGCTTATTCAGAACCTGCAAGATGCTACTTTATAAATCATTTCCACACACCAAAGTTTAAAGAGATTTCAAATATTACAATGTGCTATATGTACCTCCGATACGAAGCTTACTTCTTCTCTATCCAAATCATCACCAAATACACAATCGTGTTTTACTGCAAGGAAAGATCAACTAAATCAGACTGAGAGGAGAAGCCAGTAAGAAATTTACCCAAAAAGACTTCCAAGTTACAGTGAAATTTTGAAAAAGAAAAGATTAATTTAATCTGTAAGAAGTGGTAGTCAATTTGGATGCAGAGTGTTACTTGGCATCAATTTTCAACTCACCAAAATCAACACCCCACTCAGCATATTGCTCATAAAGTGAGCGCAAGAATGCTCTTCCTGCCCCTGAATTGGTATTCACACCCATAAAACCATTTTTCATCCATGGACAAGGCCTCTCCTTGATCCCAATATCTTGTGCCCGCCACTCTCGACCAGACTCTTGATAGGGGCCTCCCTGATGAAAAACACAAAAGGAGATAAAAAACTGAGCTTTTACACTGTTTGAGTTCCTGTAAATGTGCAGGACATCACATTATATCCAAAGGATTGCTTGAAACCAGAATGACGAGAAAATTGAATGTGATATGGCAGAATCATTGACCAATACCTTGCTAGTTTTAACATAGGGGTGCTTGCATTATATCCAAGGTATTGTTTGAAACCATGATCACAAGAAAATTTAATATGCTATGGCAGAATTGCTGGACAATACCTTGCGAGTATCTAAGATAGGGGTGTTTGCATTGACTGCTTGTGTACTTATTCCTCTCATAACATGGATTCCAAACTTAAGACCCATGCTATGAACTTTATTGGCGATTTCAGTGAAACCTTTCCCACCTTTAGACGAAGGCCACCTCTCTGGATCTGGTTGCATCCTGCCCCATTCATCAATCACATCAAATCCAAGAGAATCAGCATAAGCACCATCCACCTTCCGCCTATACCAGAGGTAATCCACCACAACATACTGCATCCAAACATAGGAGAAAATAATTTAATATTCGTCACGAGTGGTAAAACGTTTAAGATAAAATGATTTCAGTCGAGGAGAACTGGTTACAATCAATCATTTGTACCTCATATCCATAAGCATGAAGACGACTGGAAACAATTTCAGCATTTTGCAAAAACTCTTCTTCAGAAATGATCCAGGAAAACGAATCATAAGAGTTCCAACCTCTTGGAGGTGACCTAGCATGTATTGGTTCTTTGCCATAACTTCCAGATAACCCCCTGAAACAGGCGTTTCACTAGTATACATATCATTTGGTTATAAATGGATTACCGAGCGAAAGCTTTATAAACCTTGAAAATTGCATAGAGTAGAAGCAACTGGCCCCTTCAGAAACATATAATATTAGCAAAATATCAGTGGATAAGACATGCAGTATTAAAAATGTATTCAATTTTACAAAATACTCCACAGATCCAAATATGAGAATCCATTTATTCTTTGTCGTTTATTCCGAACATAATATAAGAAAATGGATTTCCATTGACCAACAAACTGTTCTACCCAGTTCCATGAATTTCATAAACAAATACCAGCACAAAGATATTCTCAAATTTGGTCTAGTTATCGCCAAACTTATGATACCAAAAAATTATAGAATTTTTTTTTCTTTTAGAAAAATCAGAACAAGTTCAGCACAATATCTCAAGCTTAACAAACTAGAAATTCAGTCTAATCGTCCCAAGTTGACGAAGTCGCTAGTAATCGCCGGAAGACACAGATTAGCAACTACACACAGGCTTTATCAAAAACAAAAAACTACCCCACATATATAAGAAAGAGAATTCTAATTCCAAATCTCTAAAGATCACGGAGGCGATAATGCTGTGATCGTTATCAAGAGCAGAAATGAGAAAATCTGACAGAGAAGTGGAGAAAACAAGTACCGGCATGCAGAAAGAAGAAGAGACAGGAAGAGAAATTTCAAGCCCGACATCTTCGTGATCACGAGGCTGATACTGATGATGAGACTCGAAAATGATGAGGCTTTGAAGAGGTGGCTGTGGCTTTTTGTGGTCCTGCCCGTTAGAGTAATAAATTAAGCTCGGTAGAAAATGAAAAAGAAGAATCCGGGAAAACGAGCCTAGTTGGCAGTTATAGGAAGAAATGATTGCTAGGTATATCAGTATAGCCAAGATAAGTAAAAGAAACTTTGTTTTTTTTTTTTTTTTTTTTTTTTTTTTTTTTTTATATGTATTGAGAGAAAGTAAGAAATTATAATTTTTATAATTTTATGTAATTTATAAAATAATTTTCTCTTCAATGCTTGATTTATTTTCTTTTTAATAATTTAATTTATTTATTTTTTTATCATTTTTTTAAAAAAATATTTATTTTATTAATATATTATTAAAGATAAGATAACAAACTGAATTTCATTTCTACGAATTTATTATATTTTAAAATTATTATTATTTTTTAATGAAAATTAAATTTATTAGTTAGGAATAGTCATAATTAATTTAGGAAAAAAAATTAATCAGTTACATTAAGATATTTTTTTTCTAAAAAACTGACGAGCATCCATAAATTTGAGAGTTGATGTTTACAATTTTGTGAATGAGGAGAAGTCGTCTGATAGTGATTGCAGCTGACGGGTTGATGGGACCTCTTGCTGTTTCTTAAAGATGTAAAATCCATTTTCTCTCAACCTCTTTGTTAAGACATTCCTTATCTCAAAATGCATAACTTAACGTTTTCCTATTTCTTGATGCCGAGTGGCTTAACACTTCCGTAATTGGATTCTTAACACTCATTTCTCATTGCTATTAACATTCGTATTGGCAACTTTTTATATAATTCTTTTGAATTTTAAATTTGTATAAGCATTTCTTTTTTCTTTTTTTTTTTTTGTAATTTCTCATGAAAAAGATATATTTTAATAAATAGATGGCTGAAATCAATATTAGAAGGCAACTAAAGAAAAACTAATTTTTTTTTTTTTTTTATCAAGATACAATCAAATAAATTTGCGCAAATAAAAAAATAAAAAAAAAACTTTTAATCACCCTAATAGAAAACCTTAATATGGGTAGAATTTTAGTAATTGTTCATAATACTCTGCACATGCAACTATTGAAGTAAAAGGTTAAGTGCCTATACCAAAGTGATTAAAAGTTTTAAGTATGAGTTCATAATACTTACAGTTAACCATACAAGTATTGAAATTAAAAATTGTTTGTAAAAGGCTCAATGCTTATGAAATGTTAAAAAATTTACTGTCAAACATGATATCTCATTTTCTTAATACTAGTCCTAACCACTCAACACCAAGCATACTTTCTTTCAAAAACCAAAGGAACTAATCGCCTCCCTACCCTAGAAAATACTTCTGAAAAGCCACTGTCAAAGCTGCTTTTGCCTACCTACTAGCTATGTGCACAAGCCGAGAACCTACACCATTGGAGTCGGAGCCTTTCGTATAAACCACTTCTATAAAAAATGAGACTCAATTTCAATTTTGCGCTTGCTTGATTTCAATTCAAACAACTTCGTGCCATAGAGAGTGTTGGAAACCCATCTCATCACCTTCCCCACTTTCAAGCCAATTAGTAGTTTCATATTTTAAAGAGGTAACAATTGTGTGAAGAACAGACATCTTGCTCATTTCACTAATATTTTTACATCATCTTCAATGATACCCAAAATGTTTACCTTATATTCAAGACAAAGGTGGTAAGTTTTATTTATAACCCTTTTGATGTAATTGCCTTTGGGTTTATGCCCGGGGGGATACAGCAAATGATCCCTAGAAGGGAGCCCCCGTTTGCACCCCTCCCATTTAAATTTTGGTTTTAGGGCAAATACCTAGCAACATAGTTTAAGCCTCAACTTTCCCAGCCTAAAACTTTGTTAGCACTCTTTCCAAATTCATCAATTATATTTTGGGGGTAAAAGAATTTCCAGTTCTCAAATGATGATGGGCCAGCTTTTCCCTGGTACGATCCTCAGAAGAAATCAGTGTAAAACTTGCCAAAAAAAAAAAAAAAAAAATCAAGTTATCAAGCTTTACACATGCAAGGAGTCAGAGGGTTCTCCCAAAGGTCATAGTTAGGAAAGGTTTCTTCGGGCAATCCAGTTCTTGTCTGGTGGGTGACAACCACATCCTCCACAAAAGTGGCCCAACCCATGTAAGGGTCCCCAAAAGACTTGGACATAAGTCCCTTGTCTGGTTTTATAGATTTTTGCCGGTGACCCATGTATCTTCGTGCCCCTATGATCAATTTGGCAAAGTTACCCCCGTGTGTCATCACGAACACATCAGACTT